TTGTATGCAATTGAAAGGATTTTGAAGCTCTCAGTGCCAAATTTGTACGTTTGGCTGTGCATGTTCTATTGCCTTTTCCACCTCTGGTGAGTTGATTGCTGGTTACGTGGTTATGATTGTGATATTGAAGAAGACGTCCTTGAAATTGGTAAACAAGTGATAGATGAAAGTGTTGCATCTAATTAAGAAGACGTGATGTTGTATTGTAGTGAACTAGTGATGTTTAATATATATTGTGTTGCTTCATTGTTAAAATGTTTTAATTTCACAGAACAAGTATTAATAGTTTTAGTCACATTACATATTGATATGTTGTTCCTTATTTGTCTCGAATTATTGGTTATTATTTCTGTCCCGCTAAATATTCATCTTGACCTGCAACCGACTCGCCCCTTAAATGATTTGCATCGACCCACACTGACACGCCCAATAACCACTATTAGTAGTAAGTAGTTTGTAAACGGTTCGATTTATAAGAATTCGGTTCATAAACAGTTCGGTTTATAAGCGGTTCGGTTTATAAACGGTTCGGTTTGTAAACGGTTCGGTTTGTAAACGGTTCGGTTTGTAAACGGTTCGGTTTATAACGGTTCGGTTTATAACGGTTTTTATGACAGTTTAAACGGTTTCGGTTTGTAAACGGTTCGGTTTATTTTCGGTTCGGTTTCCTTTCCGGTTCGGTTTAGATTTGGTTCGGTTCTAAAACGGTTTAACGTTATTCGGATCGGTTCGGTTTCGGGTTTACTAAAATGCGGTTCGGGTCGGTTTTCGGTTTAAAAAAATCGGTTTTTAATCGGTTCGGTTCTCATTCGGATCGGTTTGAATCGGTTCGGTTTCACCGGTTCGGTTCGGTTTTTGACAGTGCTAGTGTTATATATAGGGGTTGCTTGTTCATTTATAAAGTGGCCATACGGTGTGGCCAGCCACACACAAAACGGGCTGTTTATCTATTTATTTGCGTGTGTAGAGATTGTTTTGTATAGTGGTATAAGAAATTATGGGTTTCCATCCATACTGTATAACTTGACTTATGGATGAGCATAAGTTTTTTATTTGAAAGAGATATGAGCATAAGTTTTTGTTTATATTTAAAGTTTTGTTTTGTTCAACTCATAAACAAACAATTCTAGATAAGCTATTATGTAATAAAATAAATATGTAGATAAGAATAAGCATAATTAAATTTAAATAATCTAAATCTAAATAAATGTTGTCAACTATGACTAGAAGCACCGTGTGGTCAGCGATCAAGGAGTTACTTTGTTAGTGTTATGGGGGTTACTGATCAGTGTTACAGAGATTATTTAGTTAGTGTTACAAAGGTTACTCGATCAGTGTTATAGGGGTTACTTTGTTATTTTACAAGCACATGGTGTGATAAGCCGCACACAAAACACGCTATAATTATTTTAGGTAGTTTTTTTTTTTTTTTGAGAGAGAGAGTTACAAGGGAAAATGATGTAGACGGAATTTGATCTTTGATATTTAATTATTACCACCCCTTAATAGGATTGAGCAAAACTATATCAAATCCGATAATCGGATCCACATCCGATCCGAAAATTATAGATAACTGATCCGAAAAATTCAAATATCAAATCGGAGATCAGATATTCAAAAATTGAATTCCGGATATCCGATATCCCAAAAAAAAAAAAACACTTACGGATTACTTTATTATAATTTCATTTTTATTTCATATGTACTACTCCCAGGCCCAAATCCAAACCCTAACCCTTATGTCATTCCCTCAAACAACCCCCCCCCCCCCCAATCACCGCGCTCTCTCCTCTCTTTCTCCTATCAGATCTTAAACCCAATCCCACTCTAGAATTCTATAAATCATCAAATCCCACACTAAAGTTTTGATAACAGTAATCATCTCTTTCTCCCGCAACGATGACTTTCTTCCTGACGGATCAGGGGCGGAATCAAGGTGGGGCTGGCGTAGGCCATGGCCACCCCCATGATTCTGTTTAAGTATAAATTTTGCTATTTTAGTATTCCCTTGATAGTTTAGTTGGTTTTAAATTTTAGAATCCAAGAGATGTTTTCCACTTGACCAGAGTTCGACAACTGCTACAATATTTTTTTCACCCCTTTTTAGTTTTTATGGACATCACATCAGCAGACACCACCTAGAGGGCTAGAGTTAGTATAGAATTAATTTATGTTCCAAAAACTCTTAGCTTTGTAAGTCTTTAAGCTTTTATATATTGTCCAATGAAAAATTGAAAATATATTTGAGTATAAAACACATTTGTATCTTTTAAAAAAAAAAAAAAAAAAAAAAATTGATCTTGACCCCCTTAACATAAAAGTTCTGCTTCCGCCACTGTCACGGATGCTCCACGGCTCCACCACCAACGACTTCTCAGCGGCCGTTCTATCTCACTCTCACAGTCTCACCCCGCCTCTCTTTCTCATCCTTACCAACGAACTTCCCTACACTTTTTCTGATTTTTTTTCTCATTTACTTTAGTTTTAAATGATTTGTTTTATAGGAAAGTGTTACAATTTTTTGGTTTTTGTTATTATAGATTCTGATTTTATACCACATTAATCTTTGGTTTTTGTTAATTTTTTTTTTCTTTTTTTCTTTTCTTTTTTTTTTTTTTTTTTGTTTTTTTTGTTTTTTTTTTTGTTTTTCCCAATTAGTATGTGTTAATCTCTGATTGCTATATTATGAAATTTGTGGGATTATTAGATTTAAAATACGAAGTATATGTATAAATGTAGCTTGTAAATGTTGTAATTATGACAAAATGGAACCAGCACCCTGATTTTGCGGTCATGATTGTCAAGATACAAGAAAAATATGAAATGTATCCTACATACTTTTGTTTTTCTTGACAATTTTTTTTTAATTTTTTTAATTTTTTTTTCTGTTTTGCCATAAAATATGAAGTATCAATTTGCCTTTTACAACAAATAATTTTTTTGCTATTAAAATAGCATTTTAACCATATTAGTAATAAAATATTAATAAAAAAAATATATTATTAATAGGGTCGGGTATTGGATATCGGAATTATCCGATTCAAAATTTTCGGATATCCGGATATCGAATATCCGAAACATTTTGGATCGGATATGAATATAATAGCGTTTTCGAATACGGATATCCGATCTATGCTTAGATTGCTCACCCCTACCCCTTAATAATTTACCCAGCTAAATTAATTGATCATTCACAATGATTTTAACTAGTTAAAATAATATTTCGTACGAAGTAGTTCAAATTGATCACTAAAAAAATAAAATAAAAAATCAATTCAAAAGAATCCAATCTGGAAATAGAAGTACCTACTAGGCAGAGTGTCAGGTTGTTTTTAAGGAACCTACCTTGGTAGATACTCTATCTAGTTTTTTAAATAAAAACGAAAATATTAGGATATTCTAAAACTGAACTTGTCCCCATCTCATGAATAAATTAATGAAGTCAGTGTTGTGTTAAAAAACTAAATTGAACAGTAGTATTCCCTCTATATATATTCTCCCTTCCTTCCTAAGGTTCCTTATTTCAGCAATCCAGTATACACTCATCCATAATTATACATGCTTTTGCAGGGAAAACTTTAGAGCATTTATGAAATATTTTGCATATTTATAGTTCATTTTATATATAAAAAATTAATAGAAAGGTTTGTTAGGAATAAGGGTGTAATTGTGTTTGATTGATGCGGAACAATTTAATGAAAAATAAGAACGAGAAAAGCAATAAAGAAGATAAACAAACAACACAAGGATTTACGTGGTTCGGTCAAATCAGACCTACATCCATGGGTAGGGGATTCGAGAGCTTCTTCACTATAATGGAGAAAGAACGAGAGAATAATACAAGGAGTCCTAAATCTAATGGCTCAAAAGGTATGATCTAATTGATCAACTAAAGGGTCTTCTTATAACACAAGGAAACCCTAATAAAAATCCTAAATTGTTACCCAAGTATACTCAAATAGCTGTCATAGAAAAGATATAATTTTAAGAAATATCCCATAAATTATCCTAGAAGAACCGAACTACCGAGCTATAGCTCGGCAGCTAGTTCAAGCCTGCCGCAAGTCTTCATCTCGCCTAGAGCTATAGCTCGCCTGCTCGTCACAATTTTCCAACTTTGTCAGGTTTTCGTAAAACGACCATAACTTTCTCGTTTTTTACCGAAATTGGGCATATGACCTACCGTTGGAAAGATCTTGAACCAAACTATCACATCCAACTTGAATCACCTCAAAATCACTTATATTTTGAGAGAAATTTACATTCAAATTTGGCCCTACTAGATTTCGAGTCACAATCTAACAAGGTTGATATAGCGAATTTACTAATTTAAATTATGAATACTACAACGCATAAACTACTGGCAAACCAATCTCAAAAACTCACGTAATTATAGTCTATATATAAGATAGGTTACCGTATTTCCTCATTGTTTAGTTACATGTCATGAAAACATTCATATACTCTTAGCTAATTAGTTATCATCATAATCATGTCTTATATGTCCTATATTCCTTATAACAAAACATTAAAAAACACTTTTTTTTTTATTTAATTTTTTAAATTTTTTTTATATAAACAATCAAACATTATACATAGTATTACAAATTTAGATTGATTAGATTGACAACTCACATTTGATATTTTTATACAATGAATATTGACCGATGACAATAACCTCTATTTTTTCTACAATTTTTTTTGTTATAATTTCAAAATTAAAATATATAATTACTTCCAATTTCACACTTAAAAATTTGAAAGTTGACTATTCGTCATATATTTATGAGTAATGACTAATGACTAATGAGTACGTTTGCACTAATCATCATGATACTCTAACACGACATAGTTTACAAATTATTTATTCACAACTTGTATCTATTCGTATCTTATAACACGGCACATCGATCCCGCAGTCCAAATTGACCAATAACTACATCATGCATTATCCTCCATTATATAGCTGTCTATCTCATCAAAATTTCTATAAATTGACTTAAAAAAATATTAGAAAGCACCAAAATTAAAACAATATGAAACTCCTATACACTAATGTTCTACTATTCACATTTCTCTTCTTAATATTTGCTTCTAATGAAAGTTCTGCTTCAAATTCATCAGCCATTGACAATTTCCTTCAATGTCTCCCTTCTCAGTTGAATTCAATCTCGAAAGCCGTCTACACCCCTACAAATTCCTCATTCTTAGATGTTCTTCATAACTATATACGAGACAGTAGATTTAACACGTCTACTACTCCGAAACCTCTAGCCATAGTCACGGCCTTGGACGTGTCCCATGTCCAAGCAACCGTGATATGTGCTAAAACAAGTGGGATTGAAATAAGGATTAGAAGTGGAGGCCATGATTTCGAAGGTTTCTCATACGTCGCAAATGTTGCCTTTGTTATCCTTGACATGTTCAATCTTCGATCAATTGATGTTGACATACCAAGTGAGACTGCTTCGGTCCAAGCCGGTGCAACTATGGGTGAGCTTTATTATAAGATAGCCCAAAAGAGTAACGTACATGCTTTCCCTGCAGGGGTGTGCTTTACTCTTGGCGCCGGAGGTCACATTAGTGGGGGTGGCTATGGGAACATGCTAAGGCAATTTGGCTTATCCATCGATAACATTATCGATGCACAAGTTGTCGATGCCAATGGTAGAATTCTTGACCGTACAAGTATGGGTGAAGACCTTTTTTGGGCCATTAGGGGTGGTGGAGGTGCTAGTTTTTGTGTCATTTTATCATGGAAAATCAAACTAGTACGCGTACCAGAGATTGTGACGGTTTTCAACGTTCAAAAGACCTTACAACAAGGTGCTACCGATATAGTCTTGCAATGGCAACAAGTATCTTCTACAATAGATAAAAAGCTCTTCATTCGAGCTCAACCACAAGTAATTCAACAAGGAAGCACCAAGACGGTCCAAGTTTCGTTCATTGGACAATATCTAGGACGTGCCAATGAGCTTCTTCCATTGATGAAAAAGAGCTTTCCGCGTTTGGGTTTACAAGCACGCGATTGCTTAGAGATGCCATGGATTAGAACAACATTATTTTGGAATGGTAACCCATCCGGTACTCCTCTTGAGGTGCTACTAGACAGGTCACCTTCTCCGTCTAATTCCTTAGCAAAACACAAGTCCGATTATGTGAAAACGCCTATTCCAAGGGCAGGGTTAGAGGCAATATGGAAAAAAATGATCGAAGTGCAATCGAATAACATCCTACTTATGCAATGGAATCCTTATGGTGGGAGGATGAGCGAGATACCAGGGAATGCAACGGCCTTCCCTCATCGAGCAGGGAACCTTTATAAAATGCAATACCTCGCGCTTTGGTCAGATGATAGTGCGGAGGCTATAAATAAGAATATCCAATCTCTTAGAGATCTTCACGCTACATTCACCCCTTATGTGTCTAAGAACCCAAGGGAAACGTTCTTAAATTATAGGGACATCGATATTGGCACCAACATGGACGGGAGCTTAGATTTCGCTATGGACTTCTTTAAGGACAATGTGAAGAGATTGTTGCAAGTTAAGGCGAAGGTTGATCCGAGCAATTTCTTCAGGTATGAACAAAGTATACCAGTATCAAGTTGATGCAGGGGAAAGATAAGAGTGCTGCTAGGAATATGCATGGATTTGGAAAACTGTTAGACAACTTAAATTGTTTGATTTATAAAATTATGTAGCTGTATATTGTTATTGTGTTCTTTTGTGCAAAACTTGTACCAATTAATAAAAGACAGTGTGCATATTGTCTATTACACAATGCAACAAGGAACCTATGCAGATCATATGTATGTATCGATGAACTCGCAAAATAGATTGTAACAGCCATCTCCCCTGAATTATGAAAAATATAATAGAAAATTGATTAATTCTAGGAAGTATGAAACTTATAATGATCATCATTAATTTGATTTCTTTAAATATGTCCAAGGAATTTAGGATGGTCTAACTTAACAGTGATCCAACACTAAATTTGAATTAAAATTTTACAAATACTCTATTATATGATTTGAGTTTCGATAATTCACAAATTCACGACTCCATGTCAATTGAACAAAAGTGTCACAAAATTTTACTATTATTCACGACTCCATATCAATTTCTCAGCTCCGATACAGGCCATGTCGATAATTCATAGAATCACTGCCTCCCAACCCACTATGTTAGTTTGTAAATGTGCCTCATTTTGACCGGTACATTTGCCAACGTGAAACTTTAACTAAAAATATCTTTAATTATCAATTAATTAAAATATAATAAAAAGGTGATATTTAGGAAATATACATTGAGACGAGTTTAATATGTACCTACATAACTATGTTTAATCTATAAAGCACAAACAACTAGCATTGGCCAAAGTGATTTACCATATCTCGCTAGGATACTTAAGGAATCAAATTCCACATAACTAATTAAAAATATTACACATTTTATTATAAGTCTTTTTAACATATGTATTTTAAAATGAATGAAATAATATGCTACTAAAGATTTGATGTTTGTGTTTATTATAAACTCTATCAACTACAACCAACTTTTTCGATCAATTATATCAGCCTTTTCTGTTCAAATCTCTCTCAACCAAACACTACATAAATAACTGTTTGAACTAGTCAAACCTCTCATTTTTACCCCGAACGTCTTCCAACTAAACATACCCTATGCCCCTTCCTTTCCCTACGAAATTCCTATATCCAAACGTACCCTATGGTACAGACTACGTATCATTTTTTTTGGGCATGCCATCTCTATACATTGATTACTTGCTGTCATGCATGATTACCGTTTATAATATACATACCTTGCTAAATGTATCAGTTTGTAGTTGGAACATCTTTAGTAAGATTACAAATTCGCTACGTATATACTACTAATATCAATCAACTATGTCGCACCTTCACTAAGACCACCAATCCAAAAATTAACACTATACATCACCAATCACGAGCTCCATCATTAATGGCTTCCTATATTATCACAACTAATTAATATTATGTTGTGATAAATAGATCAAAACAAGTCTTTAAAGAGGAAACAAAGAAACAACAAAAAATTTAAAGATGAAGGCCTTATACTCTAATTGGGCAGCCTTGATCAATATTATTCTAATCTTTTCACTTGTATTCATTCTTATTAGTTCCAAATCTTCCAATATTGTTAGAGCTGCTTCATCATCTACAATCATTGATGATTTTCTTGACTGCCTCCACTATTCATCAATTTTAAATCCATCACTTCCAATCTCTAGTGCAATCTACACTCGTAACAACCCTTCTTTCTTACAAGCTCTTCAAGCCTATATACGAGAGAGTAGGTTTAACACATCATCTACCCCGAAACCTCTAGCCATAGTCACGGCCTTGGATGTATCCCATGTCCAAGCAACCGTGATATGTGCTAAAGAAAATGGCTTACAAGTTAGGATTAGAAGTGGAGGCCATGATTATGAAGGCCTCTCATACGTTGCACATGTTCCTTTTGTTGTCCTAGACATGTTCAACCTTCGATCAATTGATATTGACATACCAAAAGAGACTGCTAGGGTTCAAGCCGGTGCAACTCTTGGTGAGCTATATTATAAGATTGCCGAAAAGAGTAAGGTCCATGGCTTCCCTGCAGGAGTATGCTTTACCGTTGGTGTTGGAGGCCATTTCAGCGGGGGAGGTTATGGGAACATGTTACGGAAATATGGCTTATCCATCGATAACATTATTGATGCACAAGTTGTCGATGTAAACGGTAGAATTCTCAATCGCAAAAGCATGGGTGAAGATCTTTTTTGGGCCATTAGGGGAGGTGGTGCAGCAAGCTTTTGTGTTGTTATATCATGGAAAATCAAATTAGTACGTGTACCAAAAATCGTTACACGTTTTGATGTTCCAAGGACTTTAGAAGAAGGTGCTACGGATATAGTTCTTCAGTGGCAACAAGTGTCTTCTACAATCGATAAAAACCTTTTCATAAGAATGCAACCAATGGTATATAAACAAGAATGTAACAAGACAATACGAATTTCATTTTCAGGGCTATATCTTGGACGTGCAAAATCTCTTGTTTCCTTAGTAAACAAGAGATTTCCTCTTTTGAGATTAAAAGCAGAAGATCTCACAGAAATGTCTTGGGTAGAGTCAACTGTATCTTATTTTATAGGCAACGGAAATCCTCTTGAGGTGTTATTGGAACGAACACCTACACCGCCTCACTCGTATTGGAAGCACAAGTCCGATTATGTAAAAACACCAATTCCAAGGGCGGGGTTGGAGATGTTATGGAAAAAGATGATCGAGTTGGAAAATATATTTCTTCAATGGAATCCATATGGTGGGAGGATGAGTGAGATTCAAAAGAATGCAACCGCGTTTCCTCATAGAGCAGGAAACATATTTAAGATGCAATATCTTACAAATTGGGTAGATGATAGTGCTGAGGCTACAAGTAGGAATATTGAATCGATTCGAGATCTTTATGCTACATTTACTCCTTTTGTGTCTAGGAACCCAAGGGAAGCATACTTGAATTATAGGGATATTGACATTGGGACAAACAAAAATGGGAGCTTAGAATTTGCTATGGACTTCTTTAAGGGCAATGTGAAGAGATTGTTGCAAGTTAAGGCCAAGGTTGATCCTGATAATTTTTTCAGGTATGAACAAAGCATTCCAGTTTTAGTCACCTAGCTTGATGGATTGTTTTAGCTTGCATTAATTTGTGAGATCGTTTTACTCTGATTGTATTGTTTGATTTAATTCATTGCATGTAACATTTTAATCCATAGTTTTAAAATAATGTGTGTGCAACACGTTGTATACTTGTTTTAATGATCTCTTACGTTATACAAGTATGTATTGTGTTAGAATTTGTTTATATTCATGTAACATGTACTCTGATCTTGGTTATTAGTGCAACAAGTTGTATTATGAAATTAAACTGACATAAATTAATGTCCTATTGCTTGGTGATTAAGTGATTTATTATAGTATGTACGAGAGTGTACACAAATACAGGATTTAGAACCATGCAACGTCAATATCAAATGACAAATTGTACATTTTTTTCAAAGTACAATTCCGTTGACTTCAAAATTTAATTTTTTTACTCCATATTTTGTCTTAGAAATGTACGATGCATTGAGACCATTCTAACTAATACCAATATGACTATTAATCTTATATATTAAGCATGAACATTGGTTAAAAAAAAAGTGGTGTATATATGTATATAAATAGCGTAAAAGTACCGTAAAAAAAAAGGCGTAAAAATAAAAGAAAAGAAATTGGAGATATATCATATTATTTTTTTTTCATTTTCTTTTTGTTTCTCTTAGAGGCAGAGTTGAAAATGCCAACCATGACAATACCTTTGTGCAACATTAAAAAACATGACCTTTAATTTATTGTTTCGAAGATAGATACGATTTTATCAACAACAAAACTTTATGAAAGTAACAATTTTATGATAAGAAACTAAAGGTTAGACTAGTAGGATCAATAGTAGCTACAAAAGCCAAGCGTTGTAAAAAAAAAAAAATTCACAAAAGCCAACCATTTAACCAGGCCATGGCCATTAATTACATATTTTTTCTTTGTATATAATGATGAAATACTAAAGTTTGGAGCTCCTTTTATAAAGGCCCTATATAGTCACTTATCCTACTCATGCAGTCATGCACAGAAACATCCCAGGCCCCTCTCACATTAGAAATGGACTTGCAGTCAATTAGTTGAATTAAGATGAGGACCCGAGGTTAAACGTACATATATATATATATCTTGTATCAAATATTATTATCGTTAAGGACATTTGTACAAAATATTAAGAATTAAGTGAAGAAAATCAAATTTATTCTCTTAAAGAGATTATTGCTAAGGACGTTTGTACAACAACCTTACGTTGAAAGAAAAACAAACATATCACATTATATTCACGAATTTTACTTATTTTAGATATTTTCATTAATAATAACTTTTAAAAAAAAATAAAAAATAAAATAAAATAATAATAATAATAATAAATAAATAAATAAATAAATAAATAAACTCATGACAAAATAGAAGTCAAACTTTTGAGTTGTCGGCCAAAGAAGTAGTACATTCGTTCGTTAATCACCTACTTTGAACCTTTTTCTTCACCAACCTACCACACTTAGGGTCCGTTTGGTAGGGCGTAAAACATTTTCAATGTAAAATGACTTTCCATAAAAATCATTTTACAATGGAAAACTCATTTTTAAAAAAGTTTTCCATTGTTTGGTTGAATGGAAAATGATTTTCCATCTTAAGCATTTTCCATTGTTTGGTTGAAGTGAAAATTCAATTGTGAGGGAAAATGTTTTCCCTCCACTTGTGATGGAAAATGTTTTCCTTCTAAATTGGGGGGAAAATGTTTTCAATAGGGTGGAAAATGATTTTCCACCTCAAGTTTTACATTTTAATGTTTTACACTAAACCAAACAATGTAAAATGGGAAAACACTTTTCAGTGAAAATGTTTTACGCCCTACCAAACGGAGCCTTAGTCTTTTTTCTACGACTAACTACAAAAAAGAGCACCAAACCTTATCTTTTATACCACTATAAAACATCCACTCACCCTTGTAATACTCCAAACCACTTAATACTATGAACTTCTTAAGCTCTTCCTATACTCGTTTTTATCTCCTTACAACAATTCTTGCCTTGTTCTTGATTACTTCTACTCATGTAAGCGCCTCGAATTCGGCCATCGACAACTTCCTTCAATGCCTCCCTCGCTACTCGAATCCGTTATATCCAATCTTCAATGCTATGTATAGCCGCGAAAGTACTCCTTCTTTATCCTTCTTACAGTTCTACATAGGAGATCATAGGCTTAATGACACGAGTTCGACCTCGAAATATAGTATAGAGACCTTGGAGGAAAATTATGTTAAAGCTATTATAGTATGTGCCAGGGTTTGTGGGTTACAAATTATGATTAAGAGTGGTGAACGAGATTTCGAGGGCCTTTCTTACGTATCGGATGTTCCTCTCGTGCACCTATGATATTGCAAATTCGCGGTGTTTGGCTTGCATATAGAGCTTCGACATCAATCCTTAGCTTAATTGGATGGTTGGGTGTTTCGCATTGGAGTTGTTCAAGGGGTTGATTCCTTATTGTTTTTCTTTTATTACCTTTTTTTTTTTTTTTAATTTTTTTTTTTTTGTTTGGAGAGAGGGCGAGTGATGAGAATCGATCCCAGGATCACCTTGAATCGGGAGGTAAACTCTTTTATTACCTTACTGTACACAAAAAGTATATAAAAAAACAAAAGTTGTAGATAAATTAGGGTCCCAAGTTGATATAATAATGTTGGGTATAAAATGTGAGTCACTCGATCGTTTTGTGAATATTAAAAGCATCCCTGAAAGTGTCATCTGAAGTGCAACAAATTCAATTGTTTAGATACAAAGTATCCTAATAAATTTACTTTGTATGAAGTTATAATTGTCACCCCTACTAGAATCATATGCTGTCATTTTATTTTTTTATTTTTATTTTTTTTCACTTTGTTTTCCACGGAATACTTAAATACTTTGTAACTCTTAAAAAGTACATACCTTTGAATTTCTCTGAATAACTTTTGTAAATCAAATACAGAGTAAATAAAAGTTTGTTGTTGTACTAAATCATTTGTATTCTATAGCCAGCAGAGAGATGGGGAGTACGTGTAGCTTGCTGAAACGTACTGTACTTTTTTGGTGTACAAGTGTCAGGTGCAGAATATGATGCAATTATTGACCAAATGTACGACTTCATTATCGACAAATGTACGACCTAGTGCAGAAAATGATGCTGTTAACTTTCTAAAATACTCCGTAAAATCTTAATAAGTACTGTCATCTTAAAAGTCTTGTCATGATTATTTATAGAGCCCTCCTAGGCCCAACTGCCTAAATATATCCAAAAAATTCTACACCAAGAAAAACTATACAAGGCCCAATACTGTTTCACTATTGCATCTAAACGTGTCCAAAGAGCATCAGAAATATCAGAGGGTCTAGTGGTTTTTGGGTCGATGTGATCAAGAACATTGTAAGCACACACATGATTCTCGAATAATTTGACCCAATTGGAATACTGAACATTCTCATAGTCTAGGGTAGGAGGGATCGCATTCTTGATATTATTGACCGTGAGGGCCGGGTGAAATTCGTTCACTGGTGGTGGGGGAGGAGTGGGTTCGCCATCTTTAGTCATGGTTGGTGGCTAAAGACCGTCCAGTGAAGGGAAGAAGAAAGAGGGCAGTGTATTTGAGCTGAAGCAAAGAAAAGAAAAAAAAATAAAAAATCCTAGGATTGAAACCTAAAGCTGTGATACCATGTTAAAGGATCAATTCAACCAAAAGCTTAATTTGATGGTTGAGGCCTAGGAATATGTTTTATACTCTATCACTTTGTATTTTTAAGCTATTATTTGCAGGTCATCATGCATAATTGCAAGTAAGAGAATCTCCTTCTCCAATAGCAAGCACCCTCACCTGATAAGATTTGAACCTCAGACACACGTGTCTAATATGTAACAACAAAGTGTATATGTAAAATGTGTGACTACATGCTAGATAACCACCCCTTCAAGTATAGACATTATACATAGAAGAACAAAAAACATATACGAAGGATAGATCATGTATGTCAGAGCTGAGTGTTAAGGATTTGCTACGCTATAACTAAGACGGAAATCGCTAGGCTAGTACCCTGGCCTGTAACATTATAGGTCACAGAAAATGACGTAAATGAGTCGGTATGAATAGCAGATCTCCTTCAAAGTTGAGTGAAGAGAAATAGCAGGAGTATCATTGTCGTAATAAATGTTGTATCTTAGCTTGCTTTGTGTTGGTTGTGTCTTACATTCTCACATGCTTCCACCTTCCTGCCTATTGTCTGCCCTATCATGTTTAATGTTGTAACATGCTGTGGAAATGGCTTTGGGTCCATTATAAGGATTAGTCCCATCTGACAACTAGCCTAGGGTTGTACATTTTTTTATCTGGATCAAGATATCCTTAACGTTTATTTAACGACATGTTTTATATGTGGTAATAACTAATACGATTAAGTATATCTACGAATTTAATATTATTTAGTTAGTTTATAGCCGCTTATCAAACAAAATATGAAGGCTCTTGAAAATTTGAAGTTCGTTTTTTTTCCTTTTTTTTTATTTTTTTTAGGAAAATTTGTCAGAAAAAACCTAATAAAAGACACTTTTTGTCAGGAAAAACCTAATAAAGCGTTTTTGGCTCAAAAAAGCCTAATAAATTTTTTTTTTTTTGTTCAAGAAAACCAGACTCCCTATTCTGACGTCGACTGAATGTTTTCCGGCGTTGACTGATACATGTGCCATGCACATGACCCTAAATTGTCTATTTTACCCTCATTTGTTATTTACCCCTTTCCCTAATAACTTTTCTACCCAAATTAAATTCCCCCCCTTTTTATTCACTGTCTTCATCTCTCTCCATTGAAGAACGTCTCCATTGAAGAGCAGCGCTTATCTCAATTGAAGAACGTCTGAGCAGCAAGGTTAGTTCTTGAAATTTTTGCTCCAAAAATCAATTAATTTTGCAATTCTTAGTTTAATTGTGGATGTGGTACTGCGTTTGAATTTTTTCACGATAAATTTAGGGTTTCCCCCTAATTTCGTTTTTTCGTTTTTTTTTT